GAGTTGTGAGTTGTGCCGGTCGGACCCTGACCCTTACAGCGGGGATCACCGAGGCCGGGGACGCGGGCTGCATGTGGGCGGGTGGTCGTGGCTGGGGGGGCTGGACCGGGGGGGGGGGGCAGGCCGGGGACGCGGGCTGCATGTGGGCGGGTGGTCGTGGCTGAGGTGGCTGGACCGGGAGGTGCGTGCCTGCTGCGGGGTGGACTCGAGTCCCTCGCACGCCCCCAGAAGTCGGATGACTGGCTCCTCCCACCCGCGGTGTTCTGGGGGGGGCAGGCGGAAGGAGGGAGGCCTTTCTTGAGGAGCTGCCACCCCTCCTTCGGGGGCTACCTCGGGCAGTGATCCGACCCGGTGTCCCCCAACTCGGTCACCCGCCTGTCTCTCGCTTTCCTCGGCGCTGGCCGCGGGGAGGGACCCAGGCAGTGACCCCTCCCACCTTGCACCTGCCTGGCATGAGCTACTGGCTCAGGTGTGCCCCGGGCACAATGGGTCATTGTGCACCCCAGTGGTGTGTCACCCGAGGAATTTCGTGCCAGATCCGTGGTCCCTGCGGCCGCTGGCCTCCCGGTCACCAGAGCCCAAGCCAGACAGGCCACCTGTTTGTTGGGGGCTGCGGTTGTGACAGTCCCAGGCCCCCAGCAGGGGGCAGTGCCTGCGATAGATAGAGCCCCTTCTGGTGGGACCCAGAACGAGGTCTGTGTGTCTCTACTTCCCCGAGGGGTAAAACCCCCGGCCTCAGGGTTCGCCCGACTTTGGAGAAGGGCAGCCATTGTGCCTGGTCCAGGCAGAGCAGGCTCCGGCTCCTCTGGCCCAGTTGGGTCCCTGGCCCTGGCCTCCATCTTAAAGGATTGGCCCTGATGATGGAGCAAAGGGTCCAGAAGGAAATCTATCCCTGGCCTCCTTGGATTGCCCTGTGGTCTGGGGCAGCTTCCTGATCCTGTTTCTCTGTCTGTGGCCAGGTAAAGAGGGCTCAAGCAGTTCTGTATGAGAGGTGTTAACGATGGTGCTACTGAGGCCGAACTGCTGGCTTTCTGGCCTGTCTTATCTGTCCCCTCACCCAGACCCCCCAGGCCCTCACCTCCCAGGGCCTTCTGGGGCACAGGCTGTGTGCCTGCTGGTAACTTGGAAGGTGGGGCAGGCAGGCAGGCAGGGGGCAGACTGGGGCCAGGCAAACAAATCCAGGATGTGAGAGCAGCCGGGAGCCGGGTGGGGCAGCCGCCGCCACCCGGGAGAGGAAGCGAGGAAGCGGGCTGCCTCCCGGTGCTGCCTTCCTGCCCTCCTGCCTGCTCCCAAGTGCTGTCCCACCCCTCGATGCCAGGGCCCAGGGAAGGACGGGCAAGCAAGCAGACAGTGTGAGAGACCCTCGCTGCCAGGTGGTCAGTGCCACCCAGCCGGCCACACGTGCGCCCCTCCCTTCACTCAGAGAGCTGACCTCAGCTGGCAAACCTGTTTCCCCACTCTGGGTCTGGGTGAGGACCAAGGGGAGCGCCCCTTCCTGCCCTTCCTCTTCCCTGACAGACCCCGGTGTGGCCCTGCTCTCCTGGGGGAGGATACTCGGGATGAGGGTCCAACAAAGGCCCTGGTGGGGAGACCAAGGCAGGGTCTGAACAAGATGGTGAGATCAGTTCCTTTAGCCAGAAGATGCTTAGTCTGGTGGGTGGGAAGCCTCCGGTGGGACCCCACTGCTATCCCTCTGCAGGAGCTGTGCTAGGGCTGCTTTAGTCCTCCCTGAGCTTGCTCCTCCGCCCCTTGACCCTCAGGTATTCGCTGAATCACTGGACAGGAGCTAGGCCCTGCAACAGTGACCACTCCAGGAAGCTATCCCGGAGGAGGCGAGGGGACAGGAGCAGTGAGAGCAAGCACATGGCCATGGGAAATGGGAGCAGGCCCTGCGGATGGGCGGGGGCGCGGGAAGAACTCTGGGAACTGGGTGCAGCTCTTGCTGGAGCACTTGCCTAGCGTGTGCAAGGCCCTGGGTCCTATACCTAGCCCTGCAAAGAGGAAAAAAGACAGAGGACCCTGAAGCCACCAGGGCTTCCTCAGGGAGGGGGAAGAGGTGGGAGGGACACAGAGGCTAGAACAGCACCTGGCAGGAGGGCACTTGGGCAGCCTGCAAAAGCTTATGCAAATCAGCATGCAAATGAGCTGCCCATTTCAGGCTGGAGCCCTGGTATTTCCCAGCAAAGCAGGGGGGTACCCAGGTTACAGGTGGGGGCCCAAGGGAGCCCCCCCAGCTGAGCCCCTGAGGAGATCAGGCCAGGACTGGAGCTGACCGTGTCCTGCTCACCCCTCTCATGTGTCCTTTACCCCTGACCCACTCTCTAGGACCTGAGCTGGCCCCTGTTCCTTCCTGGACCTAAGCTCGCCATCTTGAGATAAAGGGAGGTTGCTCAAAGGGGCAACTGGGGTTTCTCCTCTGGCCTCTATTGCCAAGAGGAACTGAGGTGATGGGGCCATTTGGCACTGAGCTGGGGACTGAGGGAGAGGCAGGGAAGCTCTGAAGTTGTTATGGCAACTGGGGAGCTGATGGAGGTGTGGCATCCCCATGGAAACAGCGTCAGTTACTATGAGGACCCTGGAAGGGGATTCCCAGTTTCCATAGTGATAGGAAAAAGGGATGGTTAAGCCCAGATGGGTGTCAAAGGGACCAGAAGGTTCACCCCTTTCAACATCTCTTCTCCACGAGGGGCCAGAGAGAGACTGGTCCAGCCACCCTGGCACTGACCTGCCTACTGTCCTCAGCTGTCCCTGCCCCCCTGCCCCATCCCATGGCCTGAGGTCCTGGTGCCTGGCCTGCAGTCCTTGTGAGGTAGCCAGAGCCACCCTGGCTTGATGCTGCCCTTCTCCTCCCAGTGCTGCCTGGGAGACCCCTAGGCCAGAGAGGCCATCCTCCACCGACCCACTGCACCTGTCCTATTTCCACCCCTCTCACCCCTGAGATGGGGTGCTCTGACTGTTGGACTACGATTGGTTGACTCTCCCTACCTGTTCTAAGCTCCTCCCAGGGGTCAAAAACAGGCTTGCCCTTGCCTGCCAGGGAGCTAGCCTCAGCCTTGCCCTCAACCTCTTTAGTAGCCCTACCTTCTGGGGCACCAGACAGGGTGGGCATGGAAAGGTGCTGGCCCCAGGAGGACCCTGTCAGAGTGAAGCTCAGAAAGCAAAGCACACTTGGACCTGTAAAGGTGGGAGCAAGAACTGATAAAGTGGGGCACTCAGAGGTTTGGGGTGCTGAGGCTAGAGGTGAGGGACACCTACCCGTGCAGTGCCTCAGATGTGGGGAAGGCTGAGTTTGTTCTAAAAGATGAGGCTTGTCAAAGTCGGGCATAGTGGGGCACACCTGTAATCCCAGCACTCAGGAGGCTGAAACAGGAGGATCTCTGCAATTTCGAGGGCAGCCTGGGCTATACTGAATTCAAGGCCAACCTGAACTATATGGTGAGACCCTGTCTCAAAAAACAGAAAAGA